GTAGTCAACCTCTACTAACATGAGACGTGCAATATGCCCAAACTTCTTACAAAAAATCTCCTGCCTTGAAGGGGTCATACCATTCCATATATCTAATAAGTATTTCAAATCATTATGTTTAAGGAGTAGGCAAACTTCTCCTAATAGTGTAGGGACATGACCAGGTGGTAAACAATCTCCTTCTTCTAACTGTTTCTTTTCTGATTCCATCCTCACCTTTATGGGATAGTCACATTTGAACAGCATAGATGAGGCATAAACTTGACGTTCTGTGGAATCCATAAGCGTTTTTGTTGAAATAACTTTGGGGTAAAAATATTATGCAATCTATAAAAATGTTCATGAATGTGCAAGAAAAGAAATAAAGAAAACAAAGAGGTTAGTTAATCACTTCAATAAAACATAAACAACATGACTTAGAATTTTGGATTGTTTACAAAGGGTAGAAAGACAAGGCTCTATCTATGGTTGGGCTTTTAAGGTTGACTATATGCTGTTTGGGTTAATTCTAAAAGGCTTCCAAATTATTCCCTACATCATGGTCCATTACAGACTAATAAGGTACCCCAATACTCACCCATTATAGGCTACAAGCGAAAATAGTTCAATCTGAGTGAGAGTGTTTCGTCAGCCCATACGAAGACACGAAATCTCACGAGGGCATAGATACTTCACTCCATCCTAAAAGTAGAGCCTTGGGCTTATGTCATGCACATGCTGATAAATGATAGATATATATGTATTTAAATAATAAATACTTAAGTAACTATGAATAACTAAATAAGTAGAAATATACAAGGTAAATAATAAAGTAAATATAAGTAATAAAAAGAAAAAAATAATTTCGAACTTATTATGCAAGGCTTGGATAATAAAGAATTATTTACTGGCTTGACTCTCAATGTCCCCAGTGGAGTTGCCAAGCTATCATAATGTATAGATCCGTAGACCTACCACTAGACATGAATTAAAAGGAGTCGCTACCAATCTTTTTTGTTAGATGTGATTGACCACCTGATTGAATCTTATCTGCAAAACAGATATTAGGTTCAAGAGTCGATTACGCATAGAGAAAGAAGTTTGTAGCACCCTTACAACGCCTATTCAAAGGATGACACCAGTTTGATTTTGAATTATCCAAGCTTTGATCATTTTGATAATTTATCAAAAAATTTAATATTGAAAATTAACCTTAAAATTGTTCCAATAGTGTGGTAGCAATTTAAGATAATTCTCTCACTTCGAGAGTATTCATAAAAACTAGTATCCCACTTTCAAGAGACACCATCATCGGATTTATTTATTTTATCTCAGAAAAAAAAAAACCTCACAATAGTTTGGTAGGGCTTACTTCAAAGCAATCTTTTAATAATTTAGAGGATAAAAATTATTTTTGTTTATTTGAAAATATATATTTTTTGTTGAAAGGATTTTTTTATTTATTTATTTATCATTTATTTATTTTTTTAGAATTTTTTTTATTTCTCCTTTTTCTTTTGGAAATAAAAGTGACATAAATAACCTTTTTTTGTTTTTTTAAATAAAACTAGAAAATAGGAAAATAAGTTAAAAAATAAAATCAAATCAAAAAATAAAAATAAAATGAAAACAGAAAAACCTGCAATCGGGTAGGGTCGAGTCGCGGGTCAACACACGGGTCATCGGATCTACGTGCAGATCCTAGCTTATCCGAAACAATGTCGTTTGACTATCGTATAAAAGCTAAGCTTCAACGTTTTTCTTCAAAACCCTTCTATTCCTTCTCTCTCTACCCCAACTTTTCTATACCTTCTTTCTAGATTTGCCCATCGAAAACTTTAACCGAAAACCAGAATTCCATCAATTTTTGGAAAAGTTATCGAAAAATTCAACCGAAACCTATCGATTTCTGAAAATCTAGTCGAATTCTATAATCTCACCGGAATCTCATCGAAAACTTTAAAAGGTCACCAAAAAATTTATGTTCTTTCCCAAAAAAGCCAGAAAAACCCAGTAAACTCAAATTTCTTCGAATTTTTCTCATATTTTTTCAATTTCGCCCAGATTACTCCCAAAACCTCCCAGAATCGTCCTTAGCCCTAATCCTAACCCAAAAACCTAAAATCAATCATATAATTCCATATTGAACTCCAAAACCCAAAATTGAACTGCCATAACCTTTTCTGCCTAGTATTTCTTGAAATTTCTTCACAGTTTTCTCTCTAAATTTTTGTATCTTTTTCTGTGTTCCTTCTGTAAAAATTAATCCAAGTTATAAGCAACCTTAACAATGATTTTAGGAAACAAACAGAATCAATCCCTGCGATTGCATTCTGTCTAGCGTGATTTCTGATCCAAAATCCTAGTAATTTGATCTGTGTTTGACCCAAGGATTCTAATCCCGATTTCATTGTGCACATGTGGATTGAAACAGAAAAAGAAAGTAGCAAAAAAGGAAAAAAGGAAAAAAGAATAGAAAAAAGAAATTTAATAATAATAATAATAATAATAATAATAATAATAAACAAGCTATCCACTTAGGCCTTAACCCAAATGGGCCTAACTGGGCTCGAACATTGATGGGCCTAATTGGACTCGGACCTTTAATGATTTAGTTTTGATTATTTTTAATAAACGTGTAATAATTAATGAATAACATATCTATGTTTTCTTAAATTATTTATCTACATTTTTAATAATATAGATAAATAATATATCTATATTTATCTATGTTTTAATTTTTTGAAATTAAAATTTATTTAATAAATTTTTTATTTAAGTGTTTAATTATTCAAAAAAAGCTATTTTTTTATTTCTTAAATGATATTTTTATTATTTAATTTATTCAATTATTTTTTAATCTTAATTTATTCAATTATTTTTTAATCTTACTCTTTTCACAAATATATAATTTGATAAATTTAATTTATAAACAAAATTAAAAATTAAATAAATAATAAATAAAATTAAAAAATGGATTAAAATTTATTTAAATTATTATTCTTTAGCCTAAATTTATGGCTTTTTCTATGTGAATTGTATTTGTTTTCTGATTATTACTTGCTAAAAATGAGACAATCGGATTGTGTGTAATTGCCTTTGTTTAATTTAAGATCTTTTATTTTTTAAATTTTTTTAATTTTTTTTAAAAATTAAATTCTATATCTAGCAATTTTTTAAAGAATTTGTTATTATTCTTTGGTAAGTTTTTTCAATTATTTTTGTGAAAATTATTTTTTAATTGATTATTGTTTTTGTTATTATGTTTTTTTAATTTTTTTATTATAATTATAATTAAGTAAATAAAAATATTTTTTAAATAAAAGTTTTTTTTTAATTTTAAAATTTCACATCAAGAATAAAGAGTTTTAAAAGATTTTTTTTAAATTAAAATAATTTAAAAATGACATCTGACAAGCAAAGGATTTATCGCATGTCTTACCACAAGTCACCATTATATTCTTTAAGGGATAATTTTAGTAATATAGGTATAGATATCAAAGGTAAAGCTTTCTTTTCATTGTCAAATTTGGTATTTTAATACAATATTTTGGAGACGTTTAATTTTTTACATATGTTTTTCGTATATTGAAATTTATGATACTAAAATCTAGAAAAAAACAACATAAACCCTTTAAGGTTTAAGGGAAATTTCTTTTATTTATAATGTTTATAAAATTCGTTTACTCTCTTGTAAGGACTTAGAAATATTTATAAGTCAGGTTGATATTTACAAATCAGTATAGATTATGTTAAACTAGACTTGATTGGCTTTTGAAAATTCTTGTCCAAAGCTCGACTCATCAAATCTAAAAACTCAAAAATAAAAAAATATATTAAATATAATTTATAATTAAAATTAAATTAATTTTTATTAATTTAATAATATTATGAGTTAAACCATGCTCGAGTTTGAAAAATCATGTCCAAAGTTGCCCTAACTCACTCAGCCTTTGGGCAATTAAGGTTTGGCAAAAAATTTATTAACTTTCCTAAGTGTCAATAGTTAACTAATTTAAAATGAAAAGACAAATTTACTCACTCAATCTCAAATTGTTTAGTGTTATTAACTTTGAAAAGAATTTTATTAAAGTTTTGATTTTAATGTATTGAGTATTAAATTTTAAATTTTTATAGAATTAAAATTTCATGATTTTAACGTCAAAAAATAAAAAAAAATCATAAAAAATAATTTTAAAGTATAAAAGGTAAGAATTTTAGATGTTCAAAATATATATATATATATATATATATATAATTTTGAGATATTTGAAAAAGAAAAGATAAAAAAAAAGTGAGACTTTTTTTAATTATCAATTATTTATTTCTTTATCTTTATCTTTCTTTTACTTAAGATTTTTTTGTTTGCAAAATCTAATTAGTTTAATTAGTTTTTTCTTATGAGAATCTAATTAGCTTTAAAATTATATTTATTTGCTGTCATCTTAAATTTTAATTAAGTTATATTCTAATCAAAATGCCAAAAATTAGATTCTAAATCAAATATGTATTAAATAAATATTTTTAATATTTAATTAACATGTATTTGAATTAGACTTTAACTTAACTAAAATTAAATTTAATAGCATTTAAAGATAATTTTAAAACTAATTAAATTCTCGTCATTTTAATTTTGTAGTTTTCAAATGTCTTCAGTAAAATCAAGAATTAAAATAGATAAATAAATAACTAATGGTTAATAAAAGATATATTTGATCTTAAAATTATTCAAAATTTTAATAACTAAAATTACACTAAAATTAGTAATTGTTAAAAAAATTCGAATAGATGTCCACTCTAAATGTTTTTTTTTTTTTTTTTTCAATAAACTTATCTAAAAATCAAGATAGTCCAAGTTAGCTTTGAACAAGATACTTGGAAGCCAAGGTCAGCTCAAGCCCGTCCCAAAATTTTTAAAAATTCCTAAAAAAATATATTTAATTTTGATTTTGAATATATTTAATGATATATTGAAATTTTTATACTTTAATATTTTATATATTTTTTTAAAAATGGAGCTATTGAACGTAATACGTGGAGCCCAGCCTTCGGGTGAAAATTTGCCAAGACCAACAAAGTCTAACACGATTTGTTTATGATGGATTACGGGATTTTTCTCCTAAAGTACACTAATTTCGCATAGAATAATGGGGTGGGGATGTTAAGATTTAGAAACTACACAGACAGGATGTTCTTCAGTCTTCAGGCACGTATCTGTTTCTTCTTGCACCAAATGCTAGTCTCTGCATCATATGGGCAGGTAAAAGAAGAGAAAATAAGTGAAAACTTTCTATTTTACTACAGTACATGTAAAATATTTGATGACAAGAAGTTCAAAAATGATAAAATAAGAGAAAATTTGTTTCATTTCTTAACTGAAAATATCTGAGAGTAAGCTTTCAATCCAGTGAGGAACCGAATATAAGTTGGCTTCCATGATCCATTTGCTGGGATCGACCTGATGTTTGGGACGAGGTATTCTGCAACCTATGAACCACAGGACCCAATCCCCCAAAACAGAGACAAAATAAAATATATCTACAAGATTACAAAATACAAAAGCAGAACAAGAAAAAAAATGAAAGAAACCTAAGGGTGTAAACGAACCGAACATGAACAAACTTTGTTATGTTTGTGACCTATTCATTTAATTAACGAACCCTGAAATATTGTTTATGATCGTTTATTAAACTTAATAAATAAATAAAAACCACAAATTATTCATCGAACATTACATTCGTTTACACCCCTAAGAAAATGAATATAGAAAAGAAAAAGCTACCTTCTTATCAAGAAAAGCTACATTGATCAAGTTTACCAATTGACACACTATCTATAAAAAACTATCCCATAATTGACAAAATTTGAACAAATTTATGAGGATACTTGCAATCTCATTTTAAGCTCAGGTCTTCGACATATTTAAATAGACACTTCAAGCCTATGGTTTTCCTTTAATTTGATCAAGCGTGATATCCAACATGTCAACACTAAAAGATATGAATAAAGAACCATAGATGAAGCATGTACATCACTACCATATATCTTACCACTTCAGCTGGTTCTGCTAAAACATTGATGAAAAACTTGGCCTGAAATAACCAAATATTAGAAATTTTATTTTCCAAACTGAACTAGCATTAGAGCAAGTAATACAAGAAGGATAGATGTATAGTTGACCTGCTTCGTGGTTGCACCACACATGAGAAGATCAGTTGTAACCATTCCTGGCTGAATCGCAAAAGAGCATATGATCATATGAAAAAATTTACAACAACCACAATAACACACTAAACCTTATATCCCATACTATGGGGTCAGTTGTATAAAAAACCAAATAAGAGAATCAGATTAGGTTGTAGTTTGAATCTTCTTGCGCCACTCATTTCTATCAACAACCACCTTTTCATCTAATTCTTAACCATCATATCATTTTTTATTACTTACATCCATATCTTTTGTGGTCTACCTCTAGATGTTTAGATCTCTCCTAGATCTAGAGACTCAATTCTCCTAACCGATGCACAGCTAGACCTACGTTTCACGTGTCCAAACCATTGCAAACGGCCCTCTCTCATCTTCTCTTCAATTCGGGTTACCCCTAATTCATGTGAAAAAATATTAAAAAAAAAAACCTAGCAAAGATGTAAATAGTATTTTGTTTTTCAATTTTCCTTTTGTGGAAAGGGGAAGCATTTCTAATAATCAGTTACAATGGGGAACTTCAGATGACATCTCACCTTTGGCGCCCCATAAAAAAGGTCCAGAAATTTTCTTTTCTAAAACTTGCAAAATCAAATGAAAAAAGAAAGGTCAAAGTGCAAATAGCTAAAACACATGGATTTTAAAAAACATCGAGGTGATACACTCCCAAAGGACGATGAGAAAGTACAGATATACTTCTTCCAAGGTAGCACTGAAAACCAAATTATGCAACAAAGCTTAAAACTATTCTGTTCATTCCTTTTCTCCAGAGCACCTTTTCACTCCAGCTGCCCATTCACCAAAAAGTGGTGAGAGGTGCAAGTTCTTTCCTCCCCTTCAAGGGATATATTAAATTGATGACAAATTGTTTAACTTAACAATTTTATGACACATGGGTGGCTGCTCTCATAAGAAATGCATGTATTATCACCTTTAGGTAACGTTTGATATCATTTTCAAGATCACTACAGTAATCTAATCATCATGGTGATAAAATCACCAAGGTGATTTGATCACCAGTGATCTTAAATTACCATGTTTGGTACAATATTATAAATCACTAATGCATTTTAATCATTGTGTTTGCTATTATATGAAATAATAAATCATATAGTACAAAATATCCAAATTAACCTTGAAAAAAAAAAAGGCAAAATATTTAATACTTATTGAATCAACAATTTATAAAATAATTAAATGTTAATTTATAGAAAACTACAAAGTATAAATCAACTTTGATACAAATAATTTCTAAAAAATTATTAAATAAATACATTATTTTGTTAGTCAACATAAATTTATAACATAAAACATTTTTTTAGAATAAGCAATTAAAAAAACCGATTTTTTAAAATTTTTAGAAACCAACTTCTTGGAGTAATGTTAACTATATTTTTCGCAAGGGTAGATTAGTCCAAAAATAATATTGAAAATTACTTTCCCATGGTGATAAAACTTTCCTATCTTTTAGGTTAGGAATCAGATCACTACCCTAGGTGGTGACCTTAAATCACTGGCATGTAAGGTTTTTAAATTACTACCAAACAAAGTGATGTAATTATTGAGTGTAGATCATTGTGCTTTTTAAATGAATCACCCCATACCAAGCACTCTCTTAAAGAGTTGTACGGAAAGTCTTGGCAAAAGCATTTCAAAACTCAAATCATTATCCATTCACTGCTTGGTCAAAAATGGGACCCAAAATGAGGATTGAATAAGCTAAGAGTGGTCTTGAAAGGATGATTGTTAACAAAGTTGATTAGCCTCCTTGCATTTACCAGGCTGCCATTGATTCCCACAAGCATTACAAATCAAAATAGAACTTTGTACTTGTTGCCTGAACTGTAATTCCTCTAGAAAGGTCTCAAGAAGTAAGCCTAATTTATACTTAATCAGCATGATCCGTTTTTATCTCATCAGTGGTAGCATTTAAACTAACCACCAAGGCACATTTGGGATCAAGGACATTATTTCAGCTATAGAATGACTCCATGGTAGAACAGTGACCTTCTGAGGGCTGAATGGAAGGCCCTATTCAAAGGACCATGAACAGCAGGCATTAGGTGGAAAGTTTTAGCTAGCAAAATGCATGTAGGTGGTTAGATGGTCATTTTGGATGAGATAAAACCATTACTTTAGCTGAGGTTAGCTGCTAGGTAGTAGGTACTATTGGACATTCCCTCAGGAAGGATATAAAAGGGCCAGTGTCTTACTGTCATACTTGCTAGCTTTGTTGCGTAAGCTAAGAAACAAAGCAGTGGTTTTTTTCAATTGCCTCATGAACCTTGAACTAGTGTCTGGAGAGTATCTAAACCTTCTAGATGTCATGATTCCATGATTATTGTGGTTAATATGTTTTATGCTAGAAGTCAGTTCCACTGGTATCCTTTTGAATGGAAAGGTCAATCATCTTTTCATGCTTCTTGTATTGCTGGTTCTAATGAGTTTCATACCTTGGACCCAAAACTCTTGAGTGATATTTGCAATCACTTCTCTGGAACTGAGTTCCTTCAGACCGAAAGAGAGAGATGGAAGACCACATCTAAATTTTTGAGGCATATACAAATTTTGAAAAGAAATTTAGAAAATACAGTTCTTGTTCTTGTTCTTGTTTGAGTTTGTTTTATGCTATTTGGGCTTTGTTTACATGGATTTTTTCATATTTAAATAGGTTAGAGCGAGACTATTGAAGATTTCTTTTGATGATTCACACAGTGAGGTTCTAAATATTGATATTGAAAATTGAGGTTTGGCAATTGGATTTAGATTTCAGATTAAATTTTCACAAAAAAAAAAAAAAAAAATCTTCCTATAACGTTTATTTTTCTTTGTATTCTATTTTGATTGTTCGTTGTGCATCACCTATTTAGAGGAAAACCTGAGAAGAACTAATATGAAAGCAACAAATTTAGCCTAAAGCACAAATGTATCAGGCAGATTTAAGATAAAAAAACAATATAACAAAAGCAGAGAAATATGCAAGCATCATTCAATGTGGCTGGCTTAACATTAAGAGTTGGAAATTAGATGATTGTTTAATGTAAGACGTACCGATAGATTATGCAATACTACATTTTTAACATCTTGCATCTGCAGTTCAGCCTGTGAAGAGGTCAAAAAACCCAGTATCACAATTGAACTTCCACAAAAAAAAAAAAAAAAATTGCTTACCAAAGAAGATTTTTAAACATAATAGAACATTTAGAATATGGTGTATATTAATTGATCTGACTGACCATATCAAAAAACTAGAGGTAAAAATAAGAGAGAATGAATAAATTACTGACAAGAATGTGTTATAAATATTGAATTGTCCGAATACATATGTGATGCCTATCATACTCATATTGTCAAACTAAACTAATCCTCTTTCAACTCGAGAAATTCCAAACTGCACTTCACTTAGTATGATCATTTTGGGGGAGAAAGATGTAATGAAAAAATTCTTTTGCAGAAGACATTATGTCAGGTTGAGGCACATTTTTCTGCCAGCCACCATGCACCAAATACAGATGGTATATGATTTGTCATTCACATATAAAAGTGCTGAAGAGGAAAATAGAGCATTAAATAGTACCTAGGTCCTACTTAATTTCCATGTCTAGAATTCTGCTATATTCATGCAGAATTGGTGCATGCACACGCACTCACCTATTATAACCACTTTGACAGTGATCATGATGAATTATGAGCCTCTTCATACTACTTATAAAAGAAAAACAAAGATCCTCTCCTTAAAACTTGAATGATTATAGTTTCATGTCAAAGAGAAGCATATATCATGAAAAAACTTACTATTATGATTTAAAGCACTACTGCACTTATTTTGTAAACTGTCACACGCATACACCCGATTTTTGACAGTAAGCTTTCTGTACCCAATTAGAAAATATGCCATAAAAAAAAAAAAAAAAGAACCTCTAGATGTTGTTTCGGAAAGGAGAAATAGACAAAATATACTATAGGTGGCTTACAATAACTCTCAATTGTCAACATGAAAGAATGGAAATAATTCAGTTAGTTTCCTCATACGAAATTATTGAAATAAATGCATGCTACTCAAAGAATGCATGCCTAACAAAGTAGAAAAGTAAACAAATTGAACAACAGAATAACATGTCAGATGAAAAAACTGTCATGGCAGACTGAATTCTTCTATATGAAATTAACTGCAAGGAACTATGCAAAACAAGTTGAACATGTACCTGTAGTGATTTTGTCAAATGCACTACACTACGTTTGGTTGCTCCATATGCAGCAAATCTGTAGAAAGGGAAGACAGATAACCAAAGAAAGAAAAAACCAATCAATAATAAGACTGAAGGATTTGAAATACCAAATTTAATGCATTAAACGTATTTAATACATCAACCTAGGTTCTTAAGCTGCAATAATAGATAGAGCAGTCTATTATCATGACCAAAAGCATAACAGAATACTTGAATACAATATTCCTATCCTATAAGCTACAGGCTATGCAAGACTCATACCATCCTGCATGAAACATGTCATGCTAGACCAATAATATCACTTAAATGAAGCATAAAATTCAACATCCTGCTGTGAAGTTGTGATAAAGCAAGATAATGGCAAACAAAAGGCATTATATATGGCAGTACGAAAGCAGAGCACAGTCATCAGGTAATTTAAAATTACCACTAAAAGTGAAGATTATGGCAGTGCGCAATGCAAGATAGAGAGATATTCACTTTCTTATCTTTTAAAGGGTAGATGCTTTCACATAGAACAACCTCCAACAGATTGCTTTACATCTTATCCGATAAGACTTCAGTAGCAATTAAACAAAATAGCACCCAAACAATCTGGGTAACAGTACAGTAACCAAGTAAAAGAGAAATACCTAGGGGTTGGTCTTCCATCTGAACCAGCTCCATCAATGTTGAAAATATGACCACCTCGAGGCTGCTTCAACATCATCTTAATGGCCTGAGAGACAACTATTCATCAAAATAGAACTAAACATTGCCAAGCAAGAAAAATGAAAATGATTTTTTCACCTCTCGGCAGCAAATCATCAGCCCAAGGGTGTTTGTAGTAACAACTTCACTGCATAAGGACAACCCAAACTACAAATCAATGAAATAAAGAACCAAAACCAGAGCCAAAACAAAAGGGAAAGAAAGATGGAATATGGAAGCCCACATAAGATCTTCGTCTGATGCTTCTGCCAGTGGTTTATAACTATAGGCATTTGATCCTGCATTATTAATCTGCATCATTCTCAACATAGGGTAAGATTATAAAAGTGGAAGAGAAACATTGTTGGAGTAATAGGTAAAGCTTTCTACGGAAAAAAAAATACAAGCCATCAAAATAAAAAGACAACAATGTAAAAGAGAAAGAAATCATTTTGGGATTGATAAAGACATATGGTCAAGCAAGCAGGTGCCACGATATGGAACCCAGAGTTGAGGTAAATGATAAACAAATTCAGTAGCAAACATTATGTTTTAGTACAAGTTCAAATAGATAACATGCTCACAGCTCGCTTTGTAAATACTTCCTACTTTCTTCACTTCATAAACATTAATGTTATGTAGCCGCTTGTTGAATCTTACTCATCAAGAACATCCAACAGATCTCATAAATCATCATCTGACTAACGTGACAATCAGTATCAAGAGATATCAGAATTATTCTCCAGACAGAAATTTTCCACCAAAATACATATGAAACATGAAACAGACAAGTAGAGGGACCAAGATAAGACATAAATACCCATATATCAATGTATCCCAGGTTCATTTGTGCAAATAAAACTAAATTCTTCACATCCTCTGCTTCTCTGACATCACACTGACTGCCCTGTAAATGAGATTATTCAAAGCAGCATCAAGCTTAAACCAGAAAAAGAAATGTGTATGGAAAATGAAGAAGCAAGAATGCAAGATGAATTGAAAAGTCAAAAAAACATGTCATTGTGGAGGTACCCACACACGCTGCTCCCCATATTCTTCTCTGAGGCTCTTAACAGCAGATTTCACCCGTTCAGCTGTCAAAATGTCAGTTGAGCAAGTGTAAATCTAACCAGTCAATCCAATTATCTTTCAGATCAAAGCTCCACTTTCTGATAATTCATCACATAGAGCAATAAATGAATTAATGAACATACAAACACAAAGTGATGCAAAGTCATCATAAATTTTCGAGCAGTATTACAATGCTAATTTAATGATGGAAAGATAATCAAATATATTATCCAAGAATAGAAAAACATTACACTGCATCTCAAATTCAATATCTTTAAACAAACTTCAAAAACTTTATACTCTAATTGAACTTTAAATCAAGCTCTTATTCTTGATTAAGAAAATCCAAAAACAAAACTAATGGATGGAAAGATCAACAGAGAAAGACAAAATACAAAAGGATATTATCAGTCAGTCACCAGAAGATGAAGCTAGATTTTTAATTTCCCTCCACAATGTATTCATGGAAAAATGCTCGAAAAGAATTCAATTCTTTCTGATACCCTTTAATTTGATATCTTTGAGGTAACCAAATACTACTGCTTCCATTCTCATTACATATTTTTAACAAGACCCCACTACTCTAATACTTTTGTCACATTGCTTTGGAGCATAAAGCTTTGCTGATAAAAGTTGAGATAAGCAGTAGAATTCTTACCAGATCTAGAACAAATTATGATATTGTCACCTGCTTTCAGAAATTCTTTCACCAATGCATACCCTATTCCTGAAACCAACAACTTTGTTTTATAGCTTTGTTAAAAAAATATAAAACTCACTTAAATACGCGTACTTTGGACTACTTAAGCTGTTTCTGAAGCTTTTTTTTTTTATTCCAACAAAAAAAAATTGATTTTATTATCTTCACAAGTTTATTCCAAACAAGAAATCCAGGCCCTATGCTTACAAATATCACTAGTAAGCTGAGTTGCAGCCAAAAAGAAAAAGAAAAACCTTTGCTTGAGCCAGTTATAAGAACGTTGTATGGAGGAAGCATGGGTTGTCTGTCTCCAGGAGTGGCAGCTTGGGCCTTTACCGGAAATGGAGGATTCAAGGAGATTGTTGGAGTTGGAGAGGAGTTGTTTTGGAGGTAACCATGAGCAAAGTAGGGCTGAAAATGGGTTGGTTTGAAGATGGGAGAGAAGATAATTGGATGGGGTCTTGGATACCAAAATTGAGTCAAGAATTGGCAAGTAGAAGCAGCAGCAGTCGCCATTGATGATAGATTAGCTCCAGAGCTCTGTGGCTATACTATATGGATTCATCTTTACCCACGTGGGGTGCTGCTGCGCCTCATGAAAGTCAGCTGCCACGTAAACAGCTAGCCAACATAAATTGCATTGGACCAACCCTTTATTTATTTATATTTTTTTTCTATTTCGCATAAAGCGAACATCATCAAACTAGATATGGCGTTTGCTTGAGGACAGAGGTAGGTCCGCCAATTCGACGTCTTTTGGCAACTCGTTCTCGAAATAGATCAATCAAATATTCCCCCCCCCCCCCTCGATTGCTCCACTTTCATGATTTTAATCCGTCGCTAAATAGCCGTAGGCCTTCCCCGTCAATCCATTCGTGCCTACGATGATATGGGATGTTTCGTCACTGCTGAAAACGGCACTGACAGCCACAGTCAAAACGGTTCATTTTGCTTCTGTTTCTTGCTCGACACACTCTGTAAATACAGCTACGTCAAGGTGGTTTTTTGAGATTTTCAACGAAAGGAAATCTGGGTTTCGGGTTGATTCAAAATGTATACAATCTTAATAAGCGGGTGGTGGAAGACTGCAGAATCGATAAGTCAGAGACGTTTGTTATGGATTAAGGAATATGAAATAGAATTTAGAAAAGACTTGGAAAAAAGAGTAGAAAATATAGAGAGGAAAAGTGTGATTTCAGATCTTCAGTTCATTGCAAATAGCTTTATTTATAGGCTCAATACATCACTTTCTATGTACTGAATTTAAGGATCAATCAAATACATTCAGCTGTTACATAACAATTCATTAAGCTGGCTAATAATTTTATTCGAATATTGCACCCATAACGGTAATGACAACTCATTCAACACCTTCAACATATTGTCAGCTCCTTTCTCTTCATTCGTTCTTCTAAAATCTACCTCCTCCGGTACTTGGCTCCGTTCCTTGGTCTCTGCTGCTATTTCCTTTCCATTCTGAGCTGTAGCCTTCAATTTGCCTCTTGCTGTGAATTCAGTTTTTTTACCAGCTATGTACAGTAACTTATCACATCACCCCTCTCTCCAAGCAATTTTTGTCTCCAAGGATCAAAGTCAGGAAATTGAGAATTTAGGACTAAATAATCTTCCCACGTTGCATGCTTGGGTCCGAGATTAATCCATTCCACTAAGAGTTAAGTCATATCCTGATTACCTTTCTTTACAATTCTTTTGTCCAACACAGCAACAAGATAGTTAACGGTTGGCCATTTTCATTAACTTCAGGAGGTGCTATACTCGATACTACATTAGAACCAAACTTTCTTTTTAAGTAGACTGACATAGAAGACTGGATGAATTCTAGAAGAAACTGGTAGTTGCAGTTTGTAAGCTACTGTTCCTACCTTAGCTAAAACAGGATATGGTCCATAATACCTGGAAGAAAGTTTCACATTTTTTCTAAAAGTGAAGGAAGTCTGCTTATAGGGTTGAATTTTCAAGTAGGCCTCATCTCCCCCCTGAAACTCCTGCTCTCTTATCTGTGTTGTACTTCATCCTATGTTGGGCTTTTTGTAACTGATCAACTATCAACTTGCTCATCTGTTCTTTCTCTAAGCATTTCCTCAACAGTAGAAACCTTCACACTCGCACTTGCATCCCAGAAGAATTCTGAAGGCTGACAACCATATAAAGCTTGGAAGGGTGTCATTTCTATGGTTGTATGGTGACTGATTTTATACCACCACTCACCTAGTGACAACCAGTTAACCCAGGTTTTAGGCTTTAGAAAACATGTGCATCCTAGGAACTATTCCAAGCATTGATTAAGTCTTTCAATTTAGTCATCTGATTCAGGGTGGTAGGTGGAGCTAAGATGAACACTGATGCCCAATAGCTTCATCAACTCCTGCCAAATTAAGCTTGTAAAAATCTTGTCCATGTCTAAATTCAGAGTTTGAGGTGTGCCATGTGGCTTATGGACCTGAGTTAAGTATATTTTGGTGACATCCAAGGCTGTATAAGGATGTGAGACAAGCAAAAATTGGCCATACTTAGTAAACTTATTTATGATAACTAGTATACTATTATACCTTTGAGAATTTAGCAAAGCCTCAATGAAGTCCATAGAAATCACCTCTCAGCTATGTTTAGGAATAGGAATTGGCTGCAATTTTCCTAGATAAGCTACATGCCCACTTTTGTTCTTCTGGCACAGATCACATTGCTGAATATACTGTTGTACTTGATGCAACATTTTTGGCCAGTAAAAGTAAGAATTTAATTTGTAATAAGTGGCCTGAATTCCAGAATGCCCGCCTTAAGGAGAATCATTCCAAATTTGAAGAATTTGGCTCTTTAACTTTCCATGGTAACCAATATAAAGCTTCCCTTTGTATCTTAGAATCCCATTGGCATAAAAAAATTTGGGCCTGCAACCTGTTGAACAACCAGAGCAATTATCTTTTCTTAAGCTTGCACATCATCTTCATAACTGCTTTCAACATTCCTTACCCATTCGGGTATGATTGTTATATATGACAAGCTGTGGCATTGTCCCTCATCTTCAATCTTTCTCAAAAGAGCATCTGCAGCCTCGTTTGTCTTGCCCTTCCTATATTGAATGGAATAATCAAGCCCCAACAATTTAGTTAAACCTTTTTTCTGTATGGTGGTAGTCCGCTTTTGTTCAAGCAAGTACTTTAAAGCTTCATTATTAGTCTTAAACACAAATGGCCCTCCTTCCAGATAGTGTTTCCATTTCGAAACAGCCATTAGTATGGCTAAATAGTCTTTCTCATAGATTGATAGGTCCACCTCTCTTTGCCTCAATGCCTTGTTGAGATAGGCAATTGGTCTACCGTCTTGGGTTAAAACAACCCCTACTCTAACTAGCATCAGTTTTGATACAAAAGGGTTTAGAAAAGTTAGGCGAGGCTAACACAGGGGCGGTGATCATGGATTGCTTTGGTTGCTGAAATGGTGTTACAACCTCAGGGTGCCAAGTGAATCCATTTTTTTTAACATATCAGTTAAAGGCTTACTATTCTCTCCATAATGCTTGATGAATTTCCTATAGTATCGTGTTAACCCAAGAAAGCCTCTCAAGGACTTCAGATTGGTAGGCAATGGCTAGTCTTTCATAGCCTCAATCTTAGCAGATCTTTTGAAACTCCAGAAGCAGAAATAATGTGGCCAAGGTTCTCTATTTGAGGTTGGCCACAGAAACGCTTGGTTCTTTTAGCAAAGAGCTTGTGTTGTCTCAACAATTCAAAAACAATTGTAAATGCTTAGTATGTTCTGTCATATAAGTACTATAGACAAGAATATCATCAAGGAACACAAGCACAAACTTCCTCAAATACAAAGAAAACACATCATTCATCAATGATTGGAATGTAGCTGGGGCACTAGTAAGTCCAAAGAGCATTACCTTAAACTCATAGTGAACTTGGTGGGTTTGAAAGGCTGTCTTTGGAATGTCCTCCTCCTTGACTCTAATTTGCTAATACCCTGACCTCAAGTCTCTCTTGGAAAAAAAAAATTAGCTTCCTTAAGCTCATCCAATAAATCTTCCAGCATTAGAATAGGGAACTTGTCCTTCATAGTCCTCTCATTCAGTTGCTTGTAATCTATGCATAATATCCATGTTTCATCCTTGTTGCTCACTGATTGGCAAGGTGAAGCAAAGGGACTCTTGCTAGATGGATTATAAAACCTAATAGCAGCTCTGAAATTTGCCTTTCTATCTCCGACTTTTGATATTAAGGATATTTGTAGGATCTTAGGTTGAACGGTTGAGACCACGGTTTCAAGGGTATACAATGGTCATGCTTTCTGGCTGGTGGAAGCCCTTTTGGTTCATCAAATATATCAGAATATGCTTTAAGAAGCACTTGCAACTCAGTTGGTATAACATAATCATCTCTATCAGTACTCAACATATACATTTCTCTTATCAAATCCAAATCCTTAGCAGCCATTTTCTCTAACTTCTTGCTAGAAATGATTTTGTGGGTTGCAGTTGACTGTTCAGCCTTAAGATTGACTTGTTTTTCGTCCTTTTGAAAGGATACAGATAGTCATTGAAGCCAGAGACCAATGGATTGTATTTCCTCATCAATCCACTTCCAACACCATATCACTACCTCCCATGGACAGAACCCTCAAATCATGTGAAAAACGATGACCTTGAATGATCCATTCGAGCTGTTTACATTTAGCAGTGCTGTAAAGTTTGTTTCCATTGGCAACTATAATGGTTAAAGGGTACATATAATCTAATTCAACCCCATCTTTGGCCTATCTTGGTATAACAAAGCTATGAGTGCTGCCACTATCAATAAGCACACTTAGGGCTTACCATTAATGCTTCCTTGAATCCTTAGAGTGCTATGGCCAGCATTGCTTGTGAAAGCATTGATAGAAATTTCCAAGCTGTTTTCATTCTTTTCAGATTCCTTCATCACCTCTGATTCTGCGTTACTTTGTTCATTCCCCATAGCTTCTATTTCAACACTGTATTCTTCCATAATAATGAAATTCAACTGTTTGGCCTTACATATTTGTCCTGGTGTAAACTTTTCTCCATGGCAAAAACACAGGTTTTATGCTTTTCTCTGCTCCATGGGGGCTTGCTTGCTTATATTTGGGGAAGATACTGCTGAACTGCGTTAAGCCTGGCCAAAGGAATAATTGACTAGCTAAGCACTTGGAACACTGCTAGTAACAACACTAGGCCTGCTGGGTTATCTTAATCTCTTAGCTTCCCAATCCAGAGAGAGTCTAGACTATCAAGATCATTAGCCTTAACCCTGAGTCTCAACTCTTCCTTCAGTCCATTAACAAAACTAGAAACCAAATAACCCTCTACTAGATAAGGATTATATTGGATCATGTATCGCCTGAGCTCTTTAAACCATTTCAGATAATCTTCCACTGTTCCCTTTTGAACCAACTTGTTTTATCACAAAACCTTTTTCAAAGATCAACAGTAAATTCCTCCCAAGTCACCCTAGGTTTTTGCATAACATAACCATCAAACCATATCTCCGCCTTTCGTAACTAATACATGGCTGTTATTTCCATTTTTTTGATCAGCAATTAAGCCATCCTCTGAGGTTACTACCATCAAAACAATCTTAGGTCTCAGTGAAAAAGTATTAACAATAAATGAATAACCTTGCCCAGAATTATATGCAGTGTTCTTAAATTGACCAATAGAGTTCTGATGTAGATAGCTATTACTATCATGCCGATATTTTTATGATAGGCCAGGTTGATTAACTTTGTAAGCATACTTACCCTGATCATCAATGGCAATTACCTCCACTGGTGCCTTGTATCCTTTGTTGATGAGACTTGAACAAGCTAATTACTAGTGGCGCCTCCTAAGTCGAACTGATTTTGAGTTGTTTGTTTTTTTATTCAACAGCTCTAGCACCTAACTGATAGAGTCTTGACTCTCAAACCATTCTAGCCTTCACGTTCTTCATCTGATCTTATGATGCTCAGATAGTGGAATCAGTCGCCTTCATCTGGTTCTGCAACGTTTGGACCTGTTCCTGAAGTTTGTTGAACCTGATGCCTTTTGCCATCACTTGATTCTTTCTATTTTTGCCCAAGTTGGTTGGATCATTAAGCTCTGATACCAATATTATTATGGATAAAGGAATAGGAAATAGAATTTTGAAAAACCAGGAAAGAAGAGTAGAAAATAGAAATAGAAAGGAAAAGTGTGATTTCATTTCATACCTTGAATTCTTTACAAATGGTTTTTTTTGTAGGCTCAATACATCACTTGTCTATGCACTGAATTCAAGGACTAATCAAATACATTCATATGTCACATCACAATTCACTAAGATGGCTAACAATTTTATCGAATATTGCACCTAAAACGGTAATGACAACTCATTCAGTGCCTCCAACGGTATTGCCAGCTCCTTGGTCTTTATTCATTCTTCTAAAATCTATCTCCTCCAGTACTTGGCTCCCTTCTCTAGTCTCTGCTGCTAATTCCTTTCCATTCTGAGCTGTAGCCTCTAATTTGGCCCTTGCTGTCAATTCAGTTTTTTACCAGCTTTGCACAGTAACTTCATCAAAAATGTTTTTAAAGGAAATGATCGAAAACGGAATGGAACCCAATGTTGTCACCTACAATGCAATGTGAAACGGGATTTGTAGAAGAGTTAGTTTACACCCTGATAAGAGGCTTGATAGAACAATAAGGAATGCACGAGGGATTGAGCCTGACATAACCAGTTTCAATCGTTTTACATGAGTACAGCAGGGCACATAAGCCTGAGTTAACACTTGATAAGTTGAAGTATGTGAAGGAGAACGGCATTTTTGCTCGGGTGTAGCTATTTCATTCATCAAGCGTCTTTGATCGTGTAGAATGCTCGAGGAGGCCGGGAAGTTGCTTGGTGAGACGGTGAGTAATGGAGTCAATCCTTCAACTGCAACTTATAATTGTTTCTCCAAGGAGTATAAAGGATGCGAATGGTGCTTTGAATTTGTATGGGACTACAAAGGATAAATTATGCGAGTTGATTTTTCTTATTTACAAAAAGATTGTAATTTGGATCAAGAGAAGGAATTGCTTGTGTTGAAAATTTAAAATTTAAAATTATTAAATATAATTTTTTAAAAATAATCGATAAAATTTAAATTTCACACTTATTAAAATAATTGCATAAATTAACTCAACTAAAATTCGATTTTAACCCAATTTGAATTTTCATATATAGTTGATTAAATGAATTATACAGAAATGGAGAGCCATAGCAACCTTTTGCTTGAGATTACTGAGAAGGGTTTACTTCCTTAAAAAGTAACTTTTGACACGCTGTATAAAAGTTTAATACAGTCTAATATGTTTAGGAATTGGAGAAGAGTGAAGAAGAGACTTGATGAAGAGTAGACAACAATATGGTTCAGAGTTTCAAATTATCATTTGAACCCATGTGAAATTTGTCAAATGATGCTTTAATGGTTGTACATATGACAAATTTCATTTAAATTTGAAATTTGATTTATTCTAAATCCATTCATACATCAATGCTTCACAAAAGTATACATGATACGCATTTTATCTACAATCATTACATTACAACCATGCAATTATCCAATCACTAAAAATAAAATTACATGATATTTTGATGGATCATATACAATTTTGAATTGTGATTAATTAATTGTAATATAATAATTGGAAGTAATAAGCTTCCATATTTAACAATCTGAACCATATTAGTCATGTAAATATTTTTTAACCATTGATTTCAATAAATTCAAGAGACGAGAGATTAATGAAAATGAGAAAAAATGAGTTCAATCTCATCTCTTCGGTTAAAAAAGAGTGAAACTTTTTGGAGTAAGTTGATCCCTTCCATATATATATATTCTCAAAGGTGGCAATATTCTCACTGTATCTCCCAACATGACATTCACCAAATTTTCAGTCACAAGACCAACTTCCAGTGAACTTCCAAGATAGAACGTTCATGATGCCATGAACAATTACAGTAAGCATTGATTATCATGAACATGTAAGAGAAAGTAAAAAGCAGGAACTAATATCAACATGCTGCCGACTGCCTATATCAACCACACACCACATTATGATTTGCACATCATCAAAAACCTAAAATCTAATGGAACTGTGTACTTTCCATACCAGGATTTGGATAACCAAACTGTACAATTGGACTCTAAAGGCAGACTGTTGATCAACTCCAAATCTTGATGCAAAGATCATACCTGCTGCCAAACTAACTGATTTCATCAAACTCACCTTGTCTTTCACAAACTCAATGATCATACGTCAGAGCAGCTTTAGAGACTATCAATCAAACTGCCTTGATCATACCTGGTTTACAGATAGGGCACCATAAGTAACAGAAATCAACGGTATTAAGTCTGTTTAACTTGCAAAGGCCTTTCCCAGTCTTGCAGTAGCACTTTCAGAGCTAGGGGCAGTCATCAAATGTCCACCATCAGACATGTAGAAATTGTTATAGTTAATTCTCGTGACCAGATCAGCCAAATGAGGAAAGTGACCCACATTGAGCTTGAAAGACAGGACCTGTGTTGTCAAGACAAAGCCTTCCAATTAGAGAATCCAATTTAGGATATTATATCTATGACCCCTTAAATTAATTTTTTTTTTTTTTTTATAATTGATGGAGTCAGAGTTTGACCCCTTATCACTGGAACTAAGAGTCCAATAACTACCAACAGGGCACATTACTGTTGGCCTCTTAAATTAAAAATTCTTTTTGCCCTTAGGGTAAAAAAAGCATATTCTATGCATATAAGGATACATATTTATATCTATACATGCATATTTCACATTCTCAGCAGACACTGAATGAGATGCAAACTATAAAAACTATGAATCTAAATAAAAGGCTAATGCAACCAGGCAGGGTTAGAGACTACTCTAAGGAGGAAAGCAATGCAATCATCGAATTGCTTCTCAATCCGGTCCACTTCCATTTCACATCTGGCCTTGATTGCAGAAATTGCTCCACCACTGCTTAAAGTCTGCTGTAGGGAATAGAAGTCCAGAGCTAGTCCAAGAATGCTGTTGATTCGGCTTGCAATCAGAGCCCACTGAAAATCAATGAGATCATCAAGCAATAATTAAACATAACACCCCAACTTTTCAACCTACAAAGAGTACACAAGATTTTTTAAAGATCACAAATATGAAAATATATGGAGATCCTACCAGCTTATCTGGAGCCACAAAGCACTGCCGATGAATTGTTAATAAGTAGGCCTCGTGTACTTCTATAACCTCATCCAGAGACCCAGCTGCTGCCATTCCTTCACAAAGTTCACGCCATGCACTATGATACACCTGATTACCAAAAGCTAGTCAGAGATCTGAAAGGCTTAGAGTTTACCCTTTATATGCAAAAGAAGCCACCAAAGTCTGCCATACCACTAAAATCCATAAAGGTACATAAAGGCATTTAAATTGAATGGCCCAAACGCCTAATTATGTTAATTGTCAGAAAAACAGTAAATACATGTTTTCCCAAACATAAGCACATTTTTTAAACCTGTTATCATCGGCGACAAAGCAATCATAATAATACTTGAAGGATCTTATGTATACATATATGTATATATACTTAAAAATAAAAGTGATGTTCAAAGAGAAGCCACAAAAGTTAGTATGATCAGCAAACTATGAGATAGAGCATTCTTGTTTACAAGTCAATGACTTCAAAAGTTTGTACTATAGAGCTAATAAGTTGCACTCTGCCAATTAAAGTTCAGTATTTTTCTTACTTATTTTATCATATGATTCCACCACATTAAATTTCTCTCTCCCGAAGCAAAGCTTAGTATAACAGTTGTTTCCATTTCTGCACAATGATGCAATGGAAATTGATCTAATAACAAGATTTGTTTACAAAAAAATGCAACCCTAACACAGTTATATTTTATAATTCATTCAAACTTTTCTATGCATGGAAACCAGCTGCTATGACATGAAAAGTCATCTTCTCAGCCAAAAGAGCACCACAACATTAGATATCTCAACATGTCCCAACCTACACACCAGACATGGAATATATAAACTTGGTCAAGTGAAGGTATCAATAGTTTTATGAAATCATACAAAACTTAATTGAAACCCGAAAGTTTAATGCACGCATTCAGGTTTACAATTATTTATTCATGCTGTAAAAGTACAATTCCTAGGAATGGAACCCAATAGACATGCAACAACACAAGCAAATTTCTTTGTATTAGGATAAAACAGATGGATCCCCACTATGGGAGAGGTCTGCTAAACATTGCTTGCAAATTCCATTTTCTCAGCCTCTTTCAGGCCACAAATGAGATGAGTTAGCTCATCTGTCCATAGAGAAGAGATCCATGGACAAATCACAGTAACCACGTCTAGCTATAAAATCACCAAACAACTGAGGCATATGGCCAAGCAAAGACAATTCTACAATCAGATATTATACCATAGTAACAGCTATACTTCCTTACTAGATTTTCTTGATGTAGTGACATCTTGACATATTCCAGTTATTCTGTGAGCCATAGAAATTCAATTATTTATCAAGTCTGGAGTTCAAAATTTTATTAACCTATATTTAATTCAAAACTCCATGCAAAAATGGATTTTAATAGTTTGTTTGAGGAAATTTTGAAAAGTGATATTTTGATCTAAAGAGTGAGGTAAGCATGCTAAGTGTGGCGTTGTGATTCTACAAGGATGAAAGTTAAAGATTGCAACTCCCTTTAGCCTATGAAGTGACATTATCCACCTTTTCAGCTTATATGTTGTTTCTAAAGTTCTACATCTGCTAAGTTGCTAATACCTTAATACTTCAGGAGCTACAGCTCAGTCTTAGATGTACTCATCCCTTATTATGGACATTCAAGTTATGCCATGTGCTATTTGTAAACACACTGTTTCACAGCATATTTTTAATTTACTAAGATGCTTGCTAATTGTCCTTTCTTTTCATTTTTTGTTCGTGTAATTACTGGGAATCCTCCATAATGTCTCTCAGAGAATCAAAGAGCAGAAGAACTTAGAGGAGAAACAAAAAGGAAAAGAGTAAAAAAAAAAAAGGAGTAATTATAGGGACATTGAATTTCTTTTCTAAATGCAGATACAAGTTTTAAAACATGTTCAATTGCAAAAGAAATACAGAAAAATAACTTCTAAAAACAACCTAATATTAGCATAAACAAACTCTTGCTCTGTCAATTTTCAAACAAACAAAACTCTTACTCTGTCCATTACGTATTGGTGAAAAGCATCCACAAAATGAAGGAGTTTTTGCTCCACTAACCAGTGGCGCTTGCGGTTGTTTCTTACGGTGCCTTTGTCCTGGAAATGGAATAATCATAGAATAAGGTTATGCATCACAGAAATAGTGACATCAGCATGATTGGTTCTTACAATAAAATCTCTATGTGTTCTTTGTGAATGTGCACCCCTGGGAAGAAAACAATGATTATATGATAGAAGAGCACTCTGACCAAAAATTTATTAAAAAAAAAAAAAAAGAAAACCTTCCACAACCATCTCCGAGCTTTATCGAGTGCAAACTTTGCCCGCTTGACCTTCAGCAAGAATGCCATGACCTACATTGAGCATAAAACATTTGAGAAACTTGCATATTTTTGGATTAGATGATAGCACCTTAAACCAAATAGTACCTGATTATACTTCTTGATTGCCTCTGAATTAGCTATTAGTTCAAGAGGCCATGAGACCTGCCACATCCAATGCATGTATGTAAAGGACATGACTCACATATTACGGGGAATAAATTAAAATTGGGAGGAAAAGAACAATGGTCTCATATGGAGTTGACCTTGTAGGTGAATTTCAGAGAATCAAGGCCATCAATTCCAAAGCTGTGTGGACGACTTTTACGAGGAATTGAACCAACGATAACTGGATTAGTTTGCTCATCACCATCAAAACCATAAGTCTTTGAAATGGACACCACCAAAGACTCTGGTGCACTGAGTAGCGAGCCATCAGCCGAGTTTCTAATTGATTCCTGTAGTCCATAAGCTTATAACATTATCCCAGTACAAAGGGATAGAGAAATTCAAAAAGTGTAAAGCAGATGATTGTACATAGCATGCAGACTGAGATTGGCAACAGTCAACTTTGCAGTGTGGGCAAAAGCAGCATAGTAATCATGCCATAAAATATAACACATGCTAGATAAATTAAATCTTTGCCCAACTATTCACCTGCAATATTGTGTTCAACTCGAAATCATCATCCCAGGTTTCTCCTCTATCTAGCCTATTAAATATCACTGTCAAAAAGTGTTGCAGCAAATCACCTAAAGATGGGAAGGTATGAAGAAAGATGTCAGAGAACTACCACTTGTAGGCAACCAATACACATCAGAAGTCAACAAACCATATAATACCTGATCCTAACAAGTATATGGCACGCAGCACTGCAAGCTCATCCATTAATCTCCAACCATTCATTAACTTTGACAGGACAAGGATGCCAATATAATCCACCTATGACATTAAACCCAAACATTTTATATATATAAAACGCTTCTCACATTAAACAAATAAGTAAATAACAATGGCATATTAATGGATTCAGCAATTTACCTGCTTCTTGATGTACACAGTGAGACATTCCTGCATAATAACCATAGGAAGTGGGGTAGTTCTTGGCTGAACAGTTTGAATCCAGTTAAGTACTCTTGATGAAAGGGTGCTGTTCTTCTGGAAAGGCAAGAGCTTTGACATGCAGATGTCATCCTGTTTCCAGATTTAGTTACGTTTCAAAAATGCTTGCAAGGTAACATAGAGAGTTTAAAAATTATTGATCTAGCAATACCTGTAGAGAAGGAAGAAGAGTAGGAAAGGGTAACAAAACTTCCAACAACTTGGTGTCATGCTGAGCACGAAGATGTTCAGATTCACCAAATTGGAAACCAAGCATATAGTTTGTTCCTTGAGGTCCAAAAACTGGCTCACTTTTCTCTCCAAAAACTGCTTTTCTTAAGTATTCATCATTTAAAGGGGGTAAGTAGAACTTTTGTGATAAGTTAAGTGCCTTCCATGAATTCCTGTTCTTATCAAGGAATGTTTGACACACAGTAATAACTGGATTTTCTGGACAAAAGGATCTTTGGAGCAAATATTTATTTTCAAGTCCTATAACCATATTTTCTGCTCTTGTATCTGGCAAACAATATGAATCCTTATCTGCAGGCTCTACATCTATTATGTTTTTCTTTAACAATGAGTCGACTAAGAACTTATACCAGATTCTCTCTGAGTATGTTGAAGGTGGCAAAGGTTCAGCAGTCCCATACTCCATGATCTGTTCTGTCATATACACTGACAAGGAAGAAATATTCTCTGCTTTGCACTGGTTACCTTGGCAAAAATGTCGAGAGATATGATCAACATGGCCTAAAAGACCTGCTAACGACACACAAAAGATTTCAGCTAACGTTAACCCTGCCACGCCCTGCCAATGGTTAATCTTGTTTATATTGCAGTCACCATTATAACTCCCAAAACCATCATCGCCTTTATCATTATTGTTGCAAGAAAGCATTGTTGATGTCATAGGAACATGGCGGATCAGCTGCAATGATTTCCCAGCAGAAACAATTGACTTTGCTATGTCCTTAATAAATAAAGGACACGCTAAAAGGTCTCTATTGTTTTGCTCTTTTCCTTTCATAGAACTAGATGTAGAAACAAACTCCTTTTCAGCCGTTTCCTTCTTGTTGCTCGTCCCAGGTACATAATCATGGGTATAACTTGGGGCAGAGGGGTCAACTTTTAACTTGCAATTTTGTGCCATCCTTAGTAAATAGCTCTTTTCCCAGAACTCAGCCTCATCAACTGAGATTTCTCTGTTAGCATAAAAAAAATCTGCCAAAAGAGACCAAAGAAAGAAATTGGGAATTCAGGAAGGAAACTACATCAATGCATTAGAAGCTGAAAATAGAAACCTATAACAGAAAACTGCCTCATCTCCACGGTGCAAAGATATCGCAACTTGTCATTATAATATATCATAGACATAAAGCATACTAAAATTAATCTAACATATAAAGCAGAATGGAATCCTAATTGCAAACTATCATAAGCATTCACAAATAAGAATTAGTTCATGTGCCAAATATCATTGCATCAAGAGAAATTTTGGCAAATAGACTTAAAGGTGGTGCTTTCCCATTCCACCAAGAGGGAATTTCTGGAATATACTGAAGTGAAGAAACTGTTTCAGGCTTTAGGATAAACTCAACTTGAATCAAAATTACCTCCTCAAAAGGATCATCCAGTGTCCCTTCAAAAAGCCAGGAGTCAAGACCCTCAATGTAAGGCAGTAAGCTTCCAACAAATATATGAACCAGCATCTGATATACATCCCCCTGAAATTAGCACAAGCTCTAAGTTTTCATTGCATAAACCAAGATAGTCACACAAATATGAAGCAACACAAGAAAAGGATACAACCTCACCACCTTGCACAAGACATGCTTCATCAAGCTTTAGATAGAGATGGTCAAGGATATGAACAGCAATGTCAGAAGGTAGAATACAAGAAGTAGGCTCAAAACATGCTTGAGGAATGGCTCCATGAACTATTTGCAGTAGATATTCAGCACCAGAGCAAAGGCTAATATTAATGAAAAAAGGATCAGAAATTTTCACTAGAATAAGAAACCTAACGCCATCAGTTAGAACAAAATGAAAGAATATAAGCTTGGTGCTACAGCAGATATCCACCCATAAGCACATGTATATGTAACGATGAAAATTATGCCACATTAGATGTGCTCTTCAACACAAATAAAATAATGAAAACAATTGAAAAGGTAAAATCAACTCAAAAGTTAAGAATGGCAAAAAGCAAACCTAAATGCCTCGAATTTGTTAAGGTAAAAGTTTGTATGGCAACATATACTAACCTCGATAAAGAACTTGTTAATCCCAAGAGGGTCAGTGTGATTCCTCCATTTGAATTACTGATCTTTGTTTCTTCCTTCAAAGCAATATCACGCAACCTCTGCACTAGACAAAACAATTTGACTGAGTTTTCAAAGCATCCATAACAACACAAGACAATTAACCTTTTTATACAATGGCAAAAACATCTTAACCAACTATGGCACCATTGAATTTCACTTTTACTACTTTTAACTTTCAAAAATAAAAAAGGCATAATACATCTTTAGATGCAAAAGCAAAAAACATAGCAGTAACTTTTTTGAAGAAGAAAAAGCCATGGTTATGGTTTTACTTATATATAGAAAAATCATGATGTTATAATGAGTATTGCACATTTTAGTCACTTGTTCATCTTAAGCAATTGTATATATTTTTTATTTTAAGATTCTACCATTTAGCTTTGCCTTTGAACAAGGTAACCACCAAACAGAACCTCAAACAAAGACATTTGATAAATAAATATATATATATAATTTCCTTTATAGATGTAAAAAATTTAAATTAAAAAAAAAGCATTTAAATGTTTGACTCAATAATTGTATGTTACCCAAATGCTCAAAGAGCAGAATTCGAATCAGTATCACTCAATGAAAAAAAAATAGTAATATATGAAAAAGAAAAGGGAATTGATGACCTTGAGCCAAGAAGAAACAGCGGAAGCAAAAGCTCTGAAAGTGGGAGGAGGAGATCTAAGCAGCGACTCCACTTTAGAAACCGCAATTTGCACAAGTTCCAAACACGTAGCCGCATACAAGAATTGATTGAGTATCACGCCAAGGCTTGACTGAGACAAATGTGTCACGTAAATCCCACTTCTCAGACAAAATCGAGGCCCCTTTTCGTCCCAGTAAAACAACGAACCCGAAAACCCTTGCAACATTCGAACAACTCCTTGGACCAACTCCATTTCCGTGGTCCTGGAAGATGAAATCGGGGACGAAAATTGTACGTCATTGTTTGAGAAAACGCCAGAGATTTTGTTGATTAAAGAAGCTTCTGGCTTTGAATTGATTAAACTACTCGTAGTTTTCATAACAAATACGGAGTATCGAAACAGCAGGAGCAAAAATTTTTGGATTAATAAATGGTGGCTTCAAAATTTTTGACTGCCCAAAATACGAAAGGGCGCCCCCATCTTTGTCTTATTAGGCAATTTTGCCCCTATTTTGCAATTAATTAATTAAAGCCAATAAACTAAATAGGACTTTTTAATACATCCAGTGCTGTTCACAACTTTTTTTTTTTAATTTTTTAAACTAAAATTATTTGATTATTCTTCTCACAATTTTCAAATACTCATGTATAATAAATTTTATAATTTACCAAAAATAAATTTTTGAAAATTTATATAATTTTATAAAGTTTTTAAAGAAAATTGGAAAAATAAGAATTTATTTGAAATTTTTATTAATATATATAATGAAAAAATTATTATTGAAAAAAATTATAAATTTTAAAATTAATAAAAAAGAAATTGATTTTACTATTTGACTATAGAGAAAGAATAAAATTTTATAAGGCTTTAAATAAATATTTTATCTCTTGATGTCTAGGAAAAATAAAAAAAATATCAAATTTAATCAATATGAGAGTTAAAACTTTTAAAAGTTATACAAGTAATACTATTAAATATTATACAATATATCAAAATTTAATATGTTAACTAAAGAAGTCTATTGTGATAAATAAACGAAGAGATTTCTCTTAATAATTCTGTTTAGTTAGAATTATTATAAAATTTTAATAATTACTAACAAGAGAAAAATATTTATTAAAAAATGATGAGTTTTAAATTTATAAAAAAAATTATATTTATTATTTTATACTTAGTTTAATTAGTCTCATAAATTTTATTTTTCTCTAACGCTATGTTTGAATAAATATTAATAAAGGAAAGAAAGGAAAGGAAAAGAAAATTTTTCAAAAGGAAAAGAAAAAATGCATGTAACCCTTGTTTGGATAATTAAAATTAAGAAATTAAAGGAAAAGAAAAGAATTATAACAACCATTATTTAGATAAAAAATGAAAAAGAAAAGGAAATGATTCATTATAATAATTTTTTTCAATTATAACCTTTCATTACCTGTGATTTTAAAGCACTCTTTAACCATGATATATTTGTTATCTTGTCTAACCTCACAATTACTGTTATATCAATGATTTTTAATCAAGTGAAATAGAAAGATGTTTTACAAACATGCATTGATGAATTTTGAGCTAATCTGATATCTCATAACTCAAAAAATAAATATATTCATATTCAACCATTCATCAAAATAAAAAAATTTTTATATTGGAAGAGACATGTGAAACTTACTTGAAAAAATAGATGACTTTAAAAAAATTACAGGATAATTTTGATCTATATAAGTTTTTTTTATTAGGTTTTTAGTATTAATAAAAAGATGGACATAATAATCATTTTATAAAAAAAAAAATTTCAACTTTCTTTTCCCTAGCTTTTCCTCCAAATTGGGGTATTAAAAAAAATTGGATTTACAAAGGAAACCAAAAGTTATTTGGTTTCACCCTTTTCTCTTTCTTTTAAAATAAAAATTTATCTAAACAAGAGAATGGGGTTTTGTTTCCTTTACATTCCATTACTTTACTTTCATTTCCTTCCTCTCCCTTTAATCCAAACACACTGTAAGGTAATAATAGTAAAATTAACTTTTTTTTATTAATTTTAAATTTTATATTTTTTTTAATGATAACTTTTTTCATTACAACAATTAATAAAAATTTCTAGTAAAATTTACATTTTGTAATTTTTCTTAAAATTTTTATACTTGTCTTTCTGAAAATTCATTTTTGATAAATTCTATAACTTTTTAAAATTTTATTTTCAATAAGTTATATAATTTATTAGATATAAATACTGAAAACTTATAAGAAGGATAATTAAATAATTTCACTTAATAATAAATTTTGAAAAAAAATGAAAAACAAAAATAATAGTGCATTTAAAACAAGGTTGTTAATATTGTATCAAATAACATTTTAATTTTTTTTAAAAAATATGGTATATACCAATATAAATTATTTCGACATATTATTTCAAATTTTTTGATTTAATACAAATATATTTATAAACATATATGAACTTATACGTTATAATATTATTAATAATCTACAAAATGAATATATAATATATTTAAAAATCAAATAAATAAGTTTAAAAGCATAAGAAATATTATTATAAATTTTTTTTGATATTTTTAAACACTTAATTTAATCATATGATATTTAAATAAGTATTTTATATATAAATATTAAGATAAAAACAAAGAGATGCAAAAAATTAACCAAGGTTTTATGATTGTTCAACTTTATAAAAGGAGTATAACTGTTTTCTTGAAAAAAAAATTGAAATATTTATGAACTTTGGTTTGAAAAAATAAAGTAAAATAAAATAAAAATAAAAAATAAAGAAAATCAACTTTTAAAGGTTATTTTGTCCATTAATTTTTTTAGGTTAAAAATAATTAAATAACAAAAAATAAAAATTATAAAATATATTTTATATTCACGTACTAGCCAAAACATACTATTTCACGAAATTCACCGAAACAGGCAAAAATTAACAAAAACAATTGGTACTACCCAATACCAAATCTGATAAAAAAATAATCATTAAGTGTACCATATTTTAGTATAATTGGAGCATATCAGTTAGCACAATCAATATTGAAACAAAATTAACAACTATGATTTAGAAAGCTCTTAAACTAAATCGAAAATTCTCCTTGGAATGATTTTGTTTTGACGTGAATCTCAACTAATTTTATACTAGAATCTTACAACGCTACATGCATTTTGTTATAGAAAAAAGTCATGAATCTTTTTTTAGTTGACTTTTTTAGAAATAATAATATAACTTTTATTTAAATATTTTAAATTTGATAACTATAATTATTTACTAAAATATAATTTTTATAATGTAAAAACATTAATAACAAAAAACATCAAAGTAAAAAAGGATTTAACTAATTGCTTAATGCCAAATGCCAGATTGATCAAATAATTTAATGTTAACAAAAAAATTTAATGTTAGGTTGATAAATATGATCTTTATTTAATAAGTTAAATGCTATAATCAAATATCAAAATGTAAAGCAAATTGCAATAATAACCAAAGTAAATATCTCAACAAAACATTTTGAATCAAATCTTTTTAAAACAAAATTTATACCTATTTAAATAATTAGTAGCAAAAATCTTCATTCTAGATTTGTCCAAACTTTTAGCACCAATCTAAAATAATCAACAAAGCCATCATTCAAAACCCCAACTCATTAAATCTGAGAAAAATGCTAGAAATAAAAGATAAGAAAAACTTGAAATGGGATAGACTCAATCGAACTCTCCTCAATTTTTTCATTTGGCGTTGAATCGCGATACTTCTCACTCTCCACATGCACCACCTCCAACTTTCTATTTATTTAACATGTCCTTTCAAAAGCCCTCATAGCTTTCTCATTTAGTTTGGATTCAATATTTACATGCTATTTTCCTTGTGGCAACAAATTTGTTTGCACACCTTTCTCTTACCCAAGCTTTTAATCTTCCAACATTCATTTAAAGACAAAATAATATTGGTAAGATAGGATGGACACCATTTTAATGTTTTCATTGTAGAATGATTTTAACTTCAAATCCTTGATGGCTTTTATAAAAGAAATCCATGGCAGAAAAACAACAAGGCATTTTGGAATTTGAAAATACTGTAGTTATTATTTTGGTTAATTGAGAAGTAAATATTTCAAAAAATGTGAGCAAACTAAAGTCTTACTTGTACTTGGTTAATGTATAAACACCTTGTATGATAAATGCAAACATGGAAAAGAGATACTTTATGCTTACAAAAATAATACTAAACCACAAAAAATGTTATTGAATCTGGCTTTAGATTATTACAATTTTTTTCTTTTTTAATAAATTTGTGTTCACAATAAGATGCCTTTAAAAAATAATAATAATAAGTGGAGCACCTTCTAACATGGTTGAGTAATTGCTGTTAACAATGCTTTTATAGCAACATAATAGTATGAGTGTAACAAAAATATTTCTAAGAGCTACTTTTACTTGGACACCAACAACATAGGTTTAATTATCTTAAAATAAATTGTAATGCCTTTGAAGTAGTCATTTAATCTATGTTATATATGGATCAAGCTCTTAGTTAATTCCATTTTCTTTATTTGTATTTTTACTTTCTTTTCTTATGATTTTTTGAAACTTATATCTTCGCTTTTTAGTGTTTATACTTATAATGCGAGATATATGCTTATCACATCCCCTTGAGTGGAAAACACTCCAGATTACATCATTATTAACTACATCTGGTTCCATAAAAAAAATTATATCTAGTATGGAAGAAATTTTTAAGCTTATGTTAATTGGTTACAATTAGTGATTTGTTACAGAATGAAGAATTAGTTCATCACCTTGCCATATATTTGGTGCATTCAACCTCATCCCAAGGCATAGGTCGAGTTATACATAGATGGCCTTTTTTTTAGATATATTAATTATTTTTAGATGGCCCTTATCCTCATACATGTTACACTTTTAAAGACTTCTAAAAAGGTAGATTACATCTAATTAATAAACCAAAGACAGAAACTTCAGAGTTTCTAGTGAATTTGTTCATTTAAGTTGAATAAGCATTTTTTTCTTTCTCTAAAATTAAAAAAGAGAAAAAGCTACAACAATCCGAGAAAGAATTCAGGTTTTTAATTGAAATGAAAGGTTATAATTAAGGATTTTGACTGAAAACAAATTGATTAATGTATACTTTGCTTAATTAAACAGTGGACCAAAGTTACATTTATTCTATTTTTGAATCACTTTCATTTATACAAACTCATTTTCTTAATGCATGTTATTATCCAATGCAAGCATTAACTTAAAACCAATCATTGTAGGGGAAATTGAACAAAAGAATCTAACTTGAAATTTTCATTAAAAAATTAATAATTACATTGAATGGAAATTGATACATACCAAAACTAATACATACCATTGTTGTCTCACTTCCAAAGGTTATATGTTCAAAAGTGCAATTTGCATTACAAACTTGAATATACTTTTCATTCCCGTATGGAGACTTAGCTATTTGACTTTAAAAAAAATACTCATGAAACCATCATA